CACACACACACACACACACACACACACACACACACACACACACACACACACACACACAGTGTATTTACGGTATCGTGACAACCCTAGTGTAAATCATGACAGCGTGAACCATCCCTTTAACTTCAACAGTCGCTCCTGCGGGACGCTGCATTTAGTTTAGTGTTTCACAGTCCCGCCTAACAGATTAAACACTGCCTTGCTTTGTTTCTCCTCATCTTCCCTCTTTGCCTTCCTCCAGCTCCACCAGACACAACTCCAGATTTCTTCTCCTGTCTGGATGAATGTTTTCTCTCATTTTTTTGTTGATGTATTTGACCACATCCTCTGTGCCTTTGGCTTTGGGGTGGTAGTGACAGAGCTGGTATCCGCGCAGGTGATTCTCAGTTCCTGGAGTCACCAATCCGATCAGGAACCGCAGGAACATGTCCAGATGACCATTTGTAGATGCCAACGCACGGTCTATGGCAGGACGGAACAGTTCAATCATAGGCCGTTCCTTGTTTGCACCCTGAAACCAAGACATTTTGCTTGGTTCGATCACATTTTTGCCGTGTTTCCTAAACGCCACATACACATACATAGCGGCCATGTATTCCTGAACCGTAATGTGAACAAACTTGAAGACCCACGTATGAAAGTCTTCGTTTCTTCGTTTGACCTCAGTGGTTAATTCATCCCGAGTGCGCAAATCTTCATACGTCAGGTTAACGGAGGTCAAATCTTCCACCGTAAACCAGTCCCGTCCATCTAGAATCATCCGATATGACATTTTCCCCATCATATCAATAAACGACTTATCTTCATCCTGCCACTTCTGCGCCTCAACGCTGCAGCCACGGTACTTCTCAAACGAGCGGTTCATCTGCACGATGATGAACTGCGAATAAAACGCTGTGATGCCAGGTGGGTGTTTGCCGTATTCGGAATCTCGAAACCCTCGTTCGAAGATGAACGTCACCATCCAGCTGAAGAGAGGAATGTGGCAGATGATCTCAAGGGCTTTGGAGCGTTTCATGTGGTTATAAACCTTCCTCCCGATCTCAGGGTCGGTGGTTCTCTTGGTGAAGTACTCTTCCTTCTTTTCATCTGTGAATCCTCTTAACTCTACATGCCTGTCGATTAGCTGCGGAGGAATTCGGTGGGCGGCAGTGACGTGGCTGGTGATCCAAACTCGGGCGTTCGGAAGCAACGTGCCTTTTATTAAGCTGGTGAGAAGGGCGTCTAATGGCGCTTTCGTCCTGGCGCTTGAGATAACTTCGTTGTTTTTGAAGTCCAGGTTGTGTTTGCAAACTTCTACAGCCTCCATAATGAAGAGACTCAAGCAATCTGGCTTCTCTATGAATTTAATGTCGTTAGCTTCTGCGAAACATTTGCCTAGCATGTCTAGGAAGCTCGGATTTCCAGCTTTCCTAAAGTGCAACTCCTTCAACGGCAAAGGGAACACAAATTGAAAATCCTGATTGTTTTTTTCCTCCATCCAATCAACGATGAACTTGTTCACAGCTACCGTTAGACCGCAGGAGGGAATTCCCGTCATCATGACCGTACGGATTGGTTTCTGTTCGTGAGGAAAGGGCCGAAAGATGTCGGCGGCCTTGATTTGGGTCTCCTCGATCGTATATGGTATCCGGTAGACCTCATTCTCGAGGTTGATGGGCTCCCTGCTGCCTTTGATGACTGTTACGGGTTCGACATAGACGTCGCTGATGTAGCGCTGCTGACCTGGACGACATCGGCCTTCGTACAGAGTGTAATAGCGCCTGTCGTAGGCTATTTTCAGGTCATGCAGTAACACAGCTAGAAAGAAACGAAACAAGAAAAGAAAATCAGGAACTTAAGATGCAGACAAGGAAGTTCTTTTACCAGGTTTATTTTTACACCACATTCTATACTAAATACATCACAGGAATAAATTACATTTTATTCCAGCCTAGATGAGCAAAAGAGACTATAAAGTGTTTTATTTTTGCTAAAGCAGACAAAACTTTTACAACGTAATTCAAACTAATTTTAAACATAAGAAAATATTTTTTTTAAATCTTTGAAAAGTTGATCAATAATAGATATCACAAAAATGTTTAGGGGCTGTCAATAGATTACATTTTTTTATCTAATTAATCACACCCTTTTTCTGTGATTAATCGCGATTAATCGCACACTTCATGAAATCAAGCATAGACCATTTATCTTGTTTCAAATGTTTATTTTGTCATCATTTGCTATATTCAGCAAAGTAAACCAAAAGATCGAAGGGTGATCCTCAAAAATCTGTATTTTCTGCAAGCTTTTTTGAAGATAAATGTAGATGTCTTTCCAAAAAAGGACTTCAAAAGAACTCCAAAAGGACACCAAAGAACCAAATGATATAAGGAGCCCATATAAGCACATATGAAAGAAAAAAAAATGCACAAAAAAAATCTGAATTGTATAGTATGTGTACAGTGCAACAGCAACAGCAACGTGCAACAGCTTTTTTACATTTTAGAGAAGCCAAGTTGTGATACCAAACAGGACCACATGGAGATGCCAAAAAAAACCTAAACCAACCGCCTGCTGACTGCATAAATCTACTACAGTACACAGATCCATTCAGAATAACTAAACCGCAACATACACATGACAAATCAAGACATTATCGCGAATGCGTGTGGAAACAACGTGAATGTATGGAAATGTCTCTGCCTGTGCATAAATGCAATGTGCGATCAGTGCGTCAAGAGCACTCATACATGCATTATTATAACGGACTCACGCTTGCTTACTGTACGACTCCTGTACGCCACCGCAATCATCTTTACCTTGATTGCAGTCTTCATCCATCAAAACTTTATTAGTGAGACTGGTTATCAAATCGAGAAACCGTAGTTTGCGTCTCATCTGGCCATACAGCAGTGGGATGTGTTGACAATCCGTTCAGTCTGTACTTCTCACAGCACGTGTGACGTGAGCTCGTGTTTAAAAGCGAAACACACTGGAATGAATAATTCACTGAAAACGCAACGCGAGTCTCTGTTCTCTCTGCAATCTCTGATGTAATCAGCCTGGTTTCCTTTATATTAGCGCTGTTTTGGACGGATTGTTTGAATGCATTCGCTTACTGGATCATTGGACTGAAAACTTTAGCGGCTTAAAATGATCTGATCGCAAGCAGAGAAGCAAAATTGGGGATAGAATAGAAATTGTGCTTCAGTAATTTTGCGTAAAATCATTTTAACGCGTTAAGGATTGTAAAATTAATCGCATGCCTTAACGTTGACAGCCCTAATATATATACACACAATATTAGTCTTATCTATATTATCATCATCTTAATGATTTTAAACGTGGAAAAAAAAATCGACTTTAAAAATACATCAATATTTCGCTACAGGAGGCCTTTATTCACCCCCTGGAGCCGTGTGAGGCACTTTTGATTACGGATGGATGCGCTTTATTGGACTTCTTTTGGACTGTTTAACAGAAACATCCGCCCACTGCCATTATAAACCTGGGAAGAGCCAGGACATTTTTAATATAACTCCGATTGGATTTGTCTGAAAGAAGTCAGTCATATACACCTAGGATGGCTTGAGGGTGAGTAAATTATGGGGTAATTTTCATTTTTGGGTGTACTATCCCTTTAAAGTAGTATTTATAAGCGCAGAGCTGCTTTGATACAGTGGTAACCAAGAAAAAACTGTATTGCTGCTGTTCCATAAGCATCACCTGCTGTCAGAGAGTGAATCTGCGTCTCATTCATCCCATCTGCTGTTTTTGTTTTGTGCAGATGTGTTTTATGTAGACCATTCAGCTTTAAATTGTGAAATTATACAATCTACTTTAAAACAAAAACTGCTCATGCAGCATGCTTGGACTGTGATTAAAATGCAGTGGTTCTGCAACCGTTTCATGCATTCTGATTCATATTAAGGCACAGTCAAGGGAAAAAAACTTGATAAACCGTGAATCTGTCAAAATCCTAAAAAAAAAAACTGATGTAGATTTTTGGTCAAACTGCCCAGCACTAATTGAATCATGATAATTAGTTTTCTTTTTTGTGATGTGTGAAGCTGCTGTACCTCTTCTACAGGTCTTCCTTAGGAAATTGGCCAGATTGTCCTTTCTGACGTTTTCGAGGGATCGTATGGTGAGATGCAGAGCTTCTCCCAGCCCGCAGACCTCGATCATTTTATCGATCACATCCAGCGGGTCATTAAGATCCGCAATTGTCGAGTAGTTCTTCTTGAATCTGCAGTGAATGCTCAGACAACGCTTAAAATAGGCGATCTCTCCTGGATGGAGCTGGGAAAGACACCCCACCATTTGCTGAATGAGACAGAAAGACAAAGAAACATGAACAAACCTATATCAAGTTTAGGTTTATATAGAAATAACCCTTTTGGCCACCTTGCTCTCTAAAATTACACGTAAAATGATCAACATGATCAAAACTTTGCTGTTAAACCTGTTGCACACAATCTACTCCATGCCTTCTGTCGTCTGAGAGATCTTTACTGATTTTTAAAAAGAATAACTTTGATATTGCTAGTAATATATCAAGATGAACACTAACTGGACTGAAGCAACTTAGTTTTACTTGATTATCCATACTTCATTTTTTTAGAAAATCATGTTAAAATGTATCTATTATGATCATCAGGCTTTTGAGGAACGTTTATTTGTACATCTCTCAGTCATCATTGTATTGCATTGCATTATATGTTTTGATCATCAAGCTAACCATCTAAATATCTTACTAAGACATAGTATTGGGAGATATAGAGTGACAACTGATATTTGTATCACTTTATAGGAATGTAACGATGCACCCCGAGCCGGTTGAAAATCAATACAAATGTGTGACGATTCAAATCGGTTGAGATGTTAATCGTGATACAACTGGCGGTAGGAGTTTATATTAATGTATCTCTGAGGGGAACTGGCTATCTTCAGAAAAGTGTAGATGGTATTATCTTTTCATCTTGCCTCTGTATAATGCATTTAAAATAGTGTTTATAAGCGCAGCTCTGCTGTTTAAAGCAGTAACCAAGGAAACGCTGTATTTCTGCTGTTCAATAAGCGCCTCCTGCTGTCATAGTGAATCTGCATCTCATTCAGCCCATCTGCTGTTTTTGTTTCATTCAGACAGGTTTTATGTAGTATAGTTTCACAAAACTAAAAAAGACAACACATTCTGTTTTTGCTTCAAATTTCAAAATTATAAAATCTAATTTAAATGAAAAAAAACGCTCATGCTGAATGTATGCAGCATCTTTGTTTGGATCGTGATTAAAATCCAGTGGTTGCCTCTAATTTTAAATGGAAAGAGCACAGGAAAAACCTTAGTTTGTTTATATGAAGAGATTCTTTTATTTTTGTTATTTATTTGATTTGGGGTTCATTTTAAAATTTCAACTCAGTTTTGTTATTTGACATATTTCAATTTCACAAAGAAATGTGCAGCATTTGGTCCAAGCAAAAAAAACGGGCACCTTTTCATTTATAAATTGTCTTAAATCGCATTTTGTTAAAAAAAAAAAAAAACTGTGATAAAATTGTATCTTGAAATCAGTATCATGAATTGTATGAGTTGAGTGAATATATATATATATATATATATATATATATATATATATATTAATCTAAAAGGTTCAATAAATTGTTCCATTTCAAAAAAATATATTTTTCTGACTATTATTTCATATGTCAGGCTTTAAGCTTCTCAAAGTTTCCTCTACGGTTTTCAACAGAAACACAAAAACATCTACTGACTAGGGGTGGGAGAAAAAAATCGATCCATCGCAATTCTCTCTCCAACGATTTCGAGCTTAGTTTTTAACCAGATGCGCGATGACGCTGAGTTTGCTTTAGAAACACCCGTATTCTGCTTGCTTCCAATTCCTCACACACACCACTCGAACCCTCCGTTAAATAATCTTTCATAAAGTTTGGAAAGGTTGAAGCTGATTACAAGCACATTCGCGGGCTTCATTGCACCGGAAGCGCTGTGAGAGATGCGCGCTTTGTTTGACGTTACACTTGAAGAGTGCGGTCTCGCCCGTCGGTATTTTCCTTACAAAGGCTCTACGAAGTCATAATTTATGCCACTCGAACCTTCCGTAAAATAATCTTTCATAAAGTTCGTAAAGGTTAAAGCAAATTACAAGGACATTCGCGGGCTTCATTGCACAGGATGCGCTGTGAGAGACGCGTGCTTTGTTTGATGTTACACTTCACGCCCGTCTGTATTTTCCTTACAAATGCTCTACGAAGTCATAATTTGTGTGGTTTGGAATGCAGTGGACATATATTTAAAATATGAACCTCACTAACAGAAGGCTGCTTTCAATTTCAAATGCTGACCTGTCATAGTGAATCTGCATCTCATTCAGCCCATCTGCTGTTTTTGTTTCATTCAGACAGGTTTTATGTAGTATAGTTTCACAAAACTAAAAAAGACAACACATTCTGTTTTTGCTTCAAATTTCAAAATTATAAAATCTAATTTAAATGAAAAAAAACGCTCATGCTGAATGTATGCAGCATCTTTGTTTGGATCGTGATTAAAATCCAGTGGTTGCCTCTAATTTTAAATGGAAAGAGCACAGGAAAAACCTTAGTTTGTTTATATGAAGAGATTCTTTTATTTTTGTTATTTATTTGATTTGGGGTTCATTTTAAAATTTCAACTCAGTTTTGTTATTTGACATATTTCAATTTCACAAAGAAATGTGCAGCATTTGGTCCAAGCAAAAAAAACGGGCACCTTTTCATTTATAAATTGTCTTAAATCGCATTTTGTTAAAAAAAAAAAAAAACTGTGATAAAATTGTATCTTGAAATCAGTATCATGAATTGTATGAGTTGAGTGAATCGTTAAATCGCTATCAAATATTCTATACTGTTATCAAGATCTCATTACATATTAAATATCTGCACCAAATTGTGTATTTTGCTCAGCTTGGGCCTCTGAAACAAAAAAATTGAGCGTTTTTTCCTTGCCAATTATGAGATCCATACTCCCATTGTATCATACTATATGAACCATAAAAGCTGTACGTATATATATATATATATATATACACAGTGGGTACGGAAAGTATTCAGACCCCCTTAAATTTTTCACTCTTTGTTATATTGCAGCCATTTGCTAAAATCATTTAAGTTATTTTTTTTTCCTCATTAATGTACACACAGCACCCCATATTGACAGAAAAACACAGGATTGTTGACATTTTTGCAGATTTATTAAAAAAGAAAAACTGAAATATCACATTGCACAGGATGCGCTGTGAGAGACGCGCGTTACACTGAATGTTACACTTGAATTGTGCGGTCTCGCCCGTCTGTATTTTCCTTACAAATGCTCTACGAAGTCATAATTTATATGGTTTGGAATGCAGTGGACTTTTATATATTTAAAATATGAACCTCACTAACAGAAGGCTGCTTTTAAATTTCAAATGCTGACGCGCGCTTTGTTTGTGAAGACTGCTCACGCATGCGGCTGTGCGCGACTCCGTGTAGTGGTTTAATGCGCTTGCGTCTCAAAATGGTTTTATGACGCAAAAGTAATGTAAACACAGCCAGTTATGTCTTAAGGCAGTGAATCTCAACCTTTTGGCGTACCGGACCCCAGTCCAATTCAGAACCATCCTCAAGGACCCCCCAGAACAAAATTGACTCATCTGTGTATTATTTGTGTCTTTGTGAGGACTAAATGCAGTCAAGTATAATTCAAGTTAGTTGACTTGTCCAGTATTTGGCCATATCATCAGCTATATTGGATTTTTCATGTCAAAATATACAAAATTTATACAAAAATTCATACTTTATACGGACCCCCTGGCCTTACGTCAAGGACCTCTAGGTGTCCACGGACCCCTGGTTGAGAAACACTGTCTTAAGGGATTAAACGGACAGGACAAACCACATTACTTCTTATATTTCAAGAGAGAACCGTGCGTGAATGCAGCTTAATAGATCTCCCGGTGTCTATGATGTCATAGCAAAAAACAACAGTAAAGATGCAAAAAAAAAAAAAAAATTCACTCACAGTTCTTGAATGGAAAATGTTCAAATAATCTTAAATACTGAAAGCACTCTTTGTTTGTAATATGTTTCTATGCTCCTCTTTATTGTTTGCTACTTGCTTGTATGTTTTGAAGTTATATTAGCTTAAAATTCTTAACATACAACTGTTTTAATTATTTTTTTAAAAGTACTTAATTACTTATGTAAGGATATGTAAATGTAAGGATTTTAAGATTCTCAAGTCGGCAAACTAATTAATTAATAAGGGGGGGAAAAAGTAGATCAAGAATTGTTCTGGAATCAGATCGTGACTCCCAGAATCAGAATCGGATTGGATAGTGAGGTGACTAAAGATTCCCACCCCTACTACTGACCTTTAACGCATGGCGCAGTGTGAGGGAGCTGTGTGTGTGTTGAAACTGCAGACCAACGCCTTCCGGAGGAGGAGGAGGAGGATCTTTCATTTCTTCATAATGTACAACAATTTCATCAAAATCATCCTCTTCTGCCGTCGCCTCTGCCTGCTCCACCTGCACCTCCATTGTAGCGTTTTCATTCTGCTGCTCCTGCGTGTCTCTCTCATTCATCTCCGCGTCTCTGTCATTCGGCTCTTCATCCATCGCTGCTTCTGTCCATATGTCGCTCTGCAGCTCAGACGGCTCCACGATCGAGGGCTCTCTGTTAATGCTGAATGACAGGAAATGTGAAAATGAACCTCATGACTTCAGAGACATTGAGATGTATGAGTGCATTGTGCATGTAGATACCCGTGTAGGGCAGGAGATTCTCCTATGTGCATGATGGGTTGTCTCAGGACCAGTCCATCTTTGTATATGCTGGACTGGTTTGTGTTCGTACATTCAGTAATCGCAGTCTCTGGCGAATCTGGGCGATGAAGACTGACCCTGAAAATGCACATGCATGATATAAAATACATAAATGAACCATGAAATGAGTGACTTATGCCTGCAACATTTGATGAAGTGCACTAAAATAGTTAAGACTAAAAAATTAATGTGATGTGTATCTTCAAAAAGTTTTTTAAATGTCATAAAAATTCAGGAGTAATGATGCTGAAAATTCAGCTCTGCAACACGAATAAATTACATTTTTAAAAATTCGAATAGAAAAAAAAGGTTTTTAATTTAAATTTTTACAATTTATTTCAATATTTCACAATATTGCTATAACTATATTTTTGATTAAATAAATGCAGCCTTGCTGAGCATAAGAGACGTCTTTCAACAACAAAACAAAAAAATAGTTACATTAAAATAACTTCTCAAATCACTTATTTACCTCAAAACAATAATGAACCACCAATTTGAACAGAAAAAATTAAAAGGAAGTGACATAATTTGAGTTCTCAGGTACTGAGTTTAAAAACTGGCAAGATCCACCCTTAATTATTGTCATTTGTAGTTTTGTCATGTTTGACAATTTGTCAAGCATGTCATATCCAATCTGTTGCATAATGATTTATCATTATTATTATTAATAGAATGAGACTCCAATGCTTTTTTGTGTGTGTGTGTATTTGTATATTAGCATACCTTGTTGCTTGTTTGAGCGGAAGTTTTTCAAAGTCATCATCTTCTTCGTCTTCATGATCGTCACTTTGCATGGAGCCGTAACTGCTTGGCGGCCGGTCCATCATGATCCTCAAAACAATGTTAACATTAGAACCGAAAGACAATGACAGCAGCTGAAACAAAGCATGCGTCTACTTTGAAGACCTTTCAACAAATGGAAACTCGTCCAAGCAGTCTTCAAACAAAGCTCAAAAACAGACTTTTTTTTACATGCAAAAACAGAGGCCAAAATTCAAACAGCAGAACTCGAAACACTACACAGTCTGGAATCTAATATGCTTAAAAATCAAAAGCAAGATCTTCATATTCATACCAGTGCTCATGCAAGCCTGGACCAACCTGAGCAGGTCATCAGCCGTCTAAACTAGCAAAGACTCAGCTTCTTTAAATGCATATTGCATTTCAATCCCAAAAACCAAAAAGAAGAAGAAAAAAAAAAAAGTTTTCCGATCAACAAAGTGGCTTGATATTTGATGAGTCAGATTAGGTGTCTAACTCATAATACTCCCAATCCTGATGATCTTTGAACATCAGGTTGATAAAGAGCATCTTCTCATATTTCCAAAAATAGAGGAACATGTAGGTTTGTTGGTTTCAAATGGAATTATACAAACAAAACTTGCACTAAAATGTTTATATAAAGCAAGAACGCTGTTAAGAGATGTTTGAATTACAATTTTAGAAACAGAAACGACAGAAACAAAAATTATACGAACTAGTCTACTGCTCAAATTAAACTAATCCGTCCTGACATGACCTTGAACATCTCTGCATTCATTTTATGGTGATTTAAGATGCAAACCTTAACTATTACACCACATTTACACGTCTATTTATTAATATTATGGTGTCACTCATAACCTGCTATAGTTACTCACTATGTGCAACGTGTGTATTCTTTCTTGTCGTTTAATTTATTTTGATTTTAGGGCATTCTTAGTAGTTTCTTTCACTTGCTCTGCAGACCCGGTCTGGCTGGAGTCTCAAGTAACCAAACTAAGCTGGTTTGGCAGAACTAAGGAAGGAAAACAGGCCGGTTGAACAAGAACGAACCGTGAAAACCTCAAGACACTTACCGATCCACTTCAGAATCGCTATTGTCCCCAAAATGACTCATGATGATGGTTATAAACTCCTTACAAACCGATTACAGCACAGCTTCTACCTAACAAACAGAATAAACATCGATTATAACCTTTTATCGCACAATAGGGAAATTCGTCGCCTGAGAAATGATTTGAGCTATATCAATAATTTAAGCGTGAATTAAAGCGACAAAAACTTACCCAAAACATGTAGGAAGCGCTTTAGCCTTAACCCGACTTTATTCAAAGTCAGTTCGGTGGATATGTCGCCTCAAAACAAGTTTAAAACGTCCACAGAAATGTCACCCGTTGAAGCCGCGGCCTTAGTGCAAGTGCACTTCCGCGTTTTCACATCCGTGACGTCGTTTATACGTCTGACGCTTGCGTAACGACGGCGCGTTTTTGTAAAAAAAAAAAACAATTGTAGTTTTTGTTAAAAAAAAGTTTCATATTTAATATAATAAAGCTTGGCATAAATGTACTGTGGCAGCATGATGGAGCAATCAATTTATCGCCATAATTTTAACTTCTGTGGAAAAAATATTGTGAAATTAATGCATGAAAATGCATAATATATTTATAATAACTAAAATAAAAATGTATAAATATATTAATATAATCGAAGAAAGACAAAGAATAACCCTACATTAAAATGGAATGCATCTGTAAAACATTATACCCCATAGAAACTAAAATAGGCCTACATACAGAGGTTATTTATTATTATAATAATAATTATTATTATTTATTTTTTTTGGATGGTTAACAGTGAATCTGAACCCTCAAAAACACTACAAAGTAAATTACAAAAATCTTTTATTTCCAATACGTTCATCCAAAACAATAGTTCAATCAAGTATAAAGTAAACAGAAAAACAAACAAAAATAATAAATACAAATAAATCCAGGTTCTGTCCACAAATAATCCAGGACTTCACCTGTGGAGAAAGAAATGAGTTTCAGAAAGTTCATGGAACACAATACTAAAGTGTATTGCCACATAACAGCAGATACAGTCAGGAAAGATATATATATATATATATATATATATGTATTTAATGTATTTATATATATGTACATGTATATGTATATGTGTGTGGCTGTACGTACACATATGCAGTTGTTTTTTTTTGTGTTTGGCTTAGTGTTATGTTAGAATCATTATTATACTCATACCTTTTGTTCTTTTAATATTTTGAATTGTTTTTAGCTTTATTTTGTTTTGTTTTCATTTAAATGTTTAGTTTTGAAATGTTGTTGTATGCATTTGTCATTTTTATTTAATTTATTTTATTTTCTTAAATGTGTGTATATATATAGTATTTATAGAGTTTTAGCTTTTAAACATTTTTTTATTTGTAAGTCACTTTGGATAAAAGTGTCTGCTAAATGACTAAAAGTAAAGTAAAGTAAAGAAAGATGATAGTTCTACTGCTCTCCCTAAACACACACAAAACACTCTTTTAACCTAGAAATTGTGCTTATTCACCATGCATTAGTCTAATACCAGTCAAACTCCCAGCTCAAGCTAAGTCTGGTTTATGATGACAGCAGTTATCAACTCCAGCGGTGGGTCAGGCTGTCTGTAGCTTTTTTGGAGACTTGTTGCGAAGACATTTTCTCAGAGAGAGCGGAGATCTGCTGTTAGCGTTGCTCGCCGCAGGCCGCAGGGCACGACTGCCTACTGTGGGAGATTTACAGGCGTCCTTACAGAGCCTGAGGCCACGCTGCAGAAAACTACCTCTTTGGTGTGTTAGCAATCGTGAACATAACAGACTGCTTTCGCTTGGGCTAGAGATGAAAAGAGTAGGCCAGAAAAATTATGTGCATGCATATATATAGATAGATATATAAAAATATATAAAGTTCCTTACCTGAGAGTTTGAAGTTCTGATAGCATGCCTGTTCTTAAGCGTCACTGTCCGAGAGATGTCCGAGATGTACCAATGCACTGCTAAAGGATCGCACAATTACACTTCACTCAAAAGAGATGAAATTTCTAAATGTTTAAAAAGGATTAGTTTACTGAACCTTTAGACAAAATATAAAGTTTGCATGTGTTTTTGTTGAGTGCATATCTAGTTCATCAGGTTTTATGGCTCATATAGTATGATAAAGGAAGAATATGGAGCTCATATTTGAGGAGGAAAAAAAACACCTTAATTTTCAAAAGCCCAAATTGAGCAAAAATATGCAGTTTGGTGCAGATGTTGATATTTATGTGGACAAAACCCAAGATGAAATTCTGCAAATTAAAATCATTGAGATATTTAAATATATAGTTATTATATAGTTGACCGCTTACATAAAATTATAAAAATATCAGTTGTCACTCTTTCTCTCCTAATTATGTCTTAGTAAGAGGATATTTAAATGCTTAGTTTGATGATCAAAACATAACGCAATGCAATACAATGATGACTGAGAGATGAACAAACAGACGTCCCTCAAAAGTCTGATGATCACATTTGAACACGATTTCTAACAAATGACTTCTGGATAATCAGGTAAACCTAAGTTGCTTCAGTTCATCAAGTGTTTGTCTTGAAATACTGCTAACAATAACAAATTTATGTTTACTTTATAAAAATCAGTAGATTTCAGACATGTGAACCACGAGCTGAAGGTGGACATTTGTACAATTATATTAAAAGACCGTTTATTTGCTTAAAAAAGCATAAACTATTAGACATCAGATGCATGTAGTAGATTGTGTGCAACAGGTTTTCCAGCAAAGGTTTGATCATTTAGAGGCCTTAGAAATTAGCACATCAAAAATGACACAGTAGGTTTTATAGTCTACTTTAAAATTCAACAATGAGCCTATCTTATATATTAATCATCATATGCACACTAAGGGCTGTTTTCTGGCAAACGTTCTCGTTGTGTTGTAAAAAAATTTTTTTTAAGTACATTCATAACAGTATACTTTGCATAAAATGACTTCGGCATTAAATTAATAGCCACACATTTTAAAACGATTTATACTGTGTGGGGAAAATAGGAAACATTATAAAAACATGGTTCGAAAAAAAAAAAAGAAAACAAGTAGTGGTTATATTACCTAAAAATAAAGAAAAAACATTTATGAATTGTCACAAATTAAATTAAAAGATTCAGTGGACCCTCAGAACCCAGTTTGAAACAAAAAACTATATAAAAAAGTTCATAAAATTAGTAAAAAATCAGTAATTCAAAATAATTAATCATTTTCACAATAAATATTGATCTTTAAAAAAAAAAAATCAGTGCAGCCTTAGTTTGAAAAAAATTTGAACTATTTGCTAAATAGATCAGTTAAGTGAAAACAAATTAGTCATTCAAAGTTTATAATTTTCACAAAAAAAAAAATTCAGTGGACCCTCAGACCCAGAAAAAATGTAACAAACAGCTCATATAAGCAAAAAAAAAAAAGGTTATGAAAGGGTTATAAATGCAGCGTAAAGTGTCAACAATACAAATAATGCATTAAGTGTTGATTAAAATGGGAGTGATCTAGTTTTGTTACAACACTCATGTCCAGTGTCAGAAAAAAAGCTGGATTATTATAGTGAAAAAATACTGGAAATATGGGAAATGGCAGTGGGACTCAACACAGGATGGACTCAAACCTGAATTCCTGCAAAAAAACACAGATGCTGGCTAATTACTGTACGCTTAGCCTGGACTCCAGCGGGCAGCTGCTCTTCTGCAGTTCATCAGCAGAATGCTCTGGTTCATCCTCCGCTCCGACACCAGACGTTTCCTTTGCATTAAACGAATCGTTCAGCTCAAAGTTCAAGCTGTCATTGCTGGTGTCCTGCTGTGTTTCTCTGCATCTCACGTCCTCAGTGTCATCTATAATCTTCCTCCTCTCTTGCAGACACAAACACAGTTGCATGTGAAACTAAACTGAAACCTCAAAAAGACAGAAGGATTCAGTGTAAACCAACCCGAGCCTCCAAGCTGTTGACTCTGGTCTTCGCCTGGTCTCGTTCCATCTGAAGAGCTTCCACTTCTCTCTTGCTGGCCTGCAGGGAGTTCACAAGAGATTTGTTCATCTCCTGTGCCTCCTGGCTTTTACCGCTGTAATGCTGTCATTGTGTGAACATAATCTTCTCCAGGAGCTCCTTATTCTGCTGCTCCAATTGTCGAGCAACGTTTTTAAGTGCGAGAATGGAGCCGTTTTGCTTTTCCATTTTCAGCTCCAGCTGAGCTCGAAGCCTCTTGGATCTCAGCTGTTGATTCTTCATCTCAGCTTTAAGAGAACTTATTTGAGCGTCTCTGTCAGAGGCAAGAGCGGACATTTCAGTATGAAGTTCCCTCACAGTCCTCTCGAGCCCCTGAGCTTTTTCTCTTAGCATTTTTTGACAGCAAAGCTCTTGTTTAAAGCTCAGATTCCTTCACCTCGGCCAACTGGTTCTGAAGAGAAGTCCATTTTTCCTTCAACAAACTGTGTTGTGCCTCTAAAACAGATCATTCTTGTTGTTTCTGCACTTCATGTTCACTGTTAAGGTCTCTGCACACTGAGTCCGAAATTTTCGTGTGCGTTTTTTCGTATTCGAAATCCTAAAAATTCGTCGCGCACAGAAACCTTGTACACTGTAAAAAATGAACGTGAATTTAACGGTAAAAGACTGTAAAAATGCTACAGTAAAAACCTGTTAAATGGTTAACGGTAAATTCCCCTACTATATACGGTGAAAAACTGTATTGGACATTACATGTATTGGACATTAATTTTACAGTAGTATACAGTTTTTTGGAAGTGAGAAAGACTTTATAATTTACAGTGAATAACCGTAAATTGACATTCCCAGAATTCTCTGCGTTACATTTCAAATTTTTGTTTTGATGTTTTTTTGTTGAAATAACTATGTTTCTTCTTAGTTTTTTCTTATCAGTTTTGTATATTAGGGTTGTGTGTTACACCTAATGTTGTTAAATGAATGTTTATTGCATTATTTCAGTTTCATGTGTGTTACCGTGATGGTGTTTAGTGTTTGTGTGAATGACACTGTGCACCTTCTATATATGTTATTATTTAAAAGCTGCTTGTGATGGGCTTTGGTTCATCGTGTGACTTTCTTATCACCTCCTGCTTTTGGTGGTTATCAGTGTATTACAAAGGTACAAAACCGATTTCAGTACTTCAATAGGTTGGTATATTAACATTATATCAGTTAATGAAATTACGGTATTTAACTGTAAATTTAAGTTAAAACCGTAAAACCTAAAACGTTGCTAGCGTATTTTTACAGTAAAATTCTGGCAACCACAGCTGCCGGTTTTTTACCATAAATTTTACGGATTTTTTTTTTACAATGTACGTTAAACCACGTTAAGCTGTTTCCTTATA